TGTCCAGGAACGATCTAGAAAGGGTGGTCCATGCTTTTATTACTTCACGGCTGGACTACTGTAACTCCCTTTATGCTGGTTTAGATCGTTCCTGTCTGCATCGCCTCCAACTGGTGCAGAACGCTGCTGCTCGCATGCTGACCGGTCCAAAAAGAGAGACCACATCACTCCGGTCCTCTGCTCTCTCCACTGGCTCCCAGTTGCTTTTAGGATTGATTTTAAAATTTTACTGCTGGTTTTTAAGGTTCTTAACGGTACTGCACCTCCTTACCTGGCAGAGCTTCTTAGCATTTACCGCCCCAGGAGATCTTTGAGGTCAGCAGACCTGATGCTTTTAGATGTTCCCAGGTACAGACTAAAGACTAGGGGAGAGAGGGCTTTTGCTGTGGCTGCACCCAGACTGTGGAACAGTTTACCTCCTCACATCAGATTCTCCACAAGCCTAGGAACTTTTAAAACTGCTCTTAAAACTCACCTCTTCTCATTGGCTTTTAGCAAGGTTTAACTTATTGTTTTAATTTATTGTTTTATCAGTGAGGTGTTTTATGTACTTGTGTTTTATTGTATTTTATATTTGTATTTTATTGTACAGCACTTTGGTCAGCCTCGGTTGTTTTTAAATGTGCTTTATAAATAAACTTGACTTGACTTGACTTAAATGTGAGCGGTTCCACCAGGCATTATTTGTTAGTTTGTTAAATATATGTAATGCAAAAGAAGCTCAAACTTTTTTGCTCTTCCTCTTTTCTTTTCACTTTGACTTTTGTTGTAATGAAGAGATCATTTTACTGGATTGTACAAGCTGCACAACTGTGAAATTTGCTTCAGTAGGCCCACACAATCTGTCATGGTCCTGACAGTTTGGCCTTTGTAAAGAGATTGTCTTAGAAACATTTCCTTGCCCCTGGGGTTATGGCCTTTACTTTAACTCAGCTCTATGAGAAAGGATTGTCCTGAGACAAAGGGTTCACAGATGAGCTGTGGAGAGAGAATATTGCAGTCTGTTGCTGAGGAAGTTGAAGCTTACCAGCACTGCTGGAGCACAGGCAGGGGGCTTGTAGGTCTCACAAGCATTAAAAGCAAATTGTGCAATTTGCAGAAGGACCCTTTCTTAAGAGGAGGTGACTGTGATTAGCTACATTCCCGTGGGAGGGAGATTTATGAAGTCTGAGCTTGTTTTTTGGGCCTGACCTACTGCACAAGTTGGAACATCATTAAAATATGATTTCCCATTCTAATTTATGATCATGTGACACTGTGATTATCACTATTGGGGATCATTTTCAGCAAAATAATAAGATGACAATGGACATGTAGCATAGCATTGTTTTAATGTAATATAAATGTGGCAATCTGGAATCGTCGGAATCATGATAATATTAAAAATGAGTAAAATACATCTTAAAGTCCTACAAATGGGGCGACCATGGCTCAGGGGGTTGGGAAGCGTATCTGTAACCGGAAGGTTGCCGGTTCGAGCCCCGGGCTCCGTCCGGTCGTTGTGTCCTTGGGCAAGACACGTCTACCTACCTGCCTACTGGTGTTGGCCAGAGGGGCCGATGGCGCGATATGGCAGCCTCGCTTCTGTCAGTCTGCCCCAGGGCAGCTGTGGCTACAACTGTAGCTGCCTCCACCAGTGTGTGAATGCGAGAGTGAATGAATAGTGGCATTGTAAAGCGCTTTGGGTGCCTTGAAAAGCGCTATATAAATCCAATCCATTATAAATGTTTTTCTGTTCTGTTGGGTTGTTATACAGTAGGTCAACTCCCCATGGAGACGACTTGTTTATCATGCCACCATTTTCCCCTATCTCCTGTTTCTATGGTAACAGCTTAGCGGACCTTAACTTTATTTGCAAATACACTAGTTAACATTTTTCATTTTTTAACCTTTGACTTCTCAACTATTATGCACTTGCTACTCTTACAGATGTGTTCGTACAAGGCCTGTTATAATTCAGCTTTATTAAGCACTGGATGGTTAAATTAGATAAATATGTCATATTCTAGCAGTGCATTTTTTTCCCGTTGCAATCGCAGTTAAAAAAAAAAAAAGAATAAATAAATACGATCTTTTGCCACCGACAGCATGCTGTTTTTGATTAGGCCTTAGTTACTCTTTTTAAGTTCTTGATTGCACTCAGATTCCAGCTGTTGACTGACAATTAAGTTAAGAGACGCTACAGTTAATTAACATTTTAATCTTGAATGTCAAACAATGACTGAAAGGACTTTGAAAGGACCTTTGGAGCAAGACACTATAGTTAATTTAAATAGAAAAAAGAATGTCATAGCATTTTCTTAGACTAATGTGATTACAGTTTGTTTAATATTTTGTGGTATATTTAGAAAAATGTTATGCCTTCCAGAGCCTAAAAAAAACCTATTGTTTCTATTCACATTCACATTAAGCAGGAATACAACGTTATGCCTTCCATTCTGTAAATATTGTGCATGTAATAAAAAGAGCTGCACAGTTCTATAAATTCACTGTTTGGTTTTTGGCCCAAAAAGCGAACTCCCATGACTGTGATGGATTTTCAGTTCAATTTTTACATCAAAAATCTTTGTACTTTTAATTACAGCAGTTCCACAAGGCTAATTAGCATAAGCAAAATGAGCATGTGGCTAATTAACATTTTATTAGACGTACGGGTTAGGGAAGCTGTGTGTCGATCTTCATTTATCAATCTGTATTTTCACACATGCTTTTTATAGCAACACAAAATCTGCTTTTAATTTTAATTAAATACTTAATTTCACTCTTTATTTCGATCAAAATTATTCTGACTCTCTGCAATGAACTGATCATCACTTGCAGCCAGTCGACGTGTTCAGAATGACTTGGTTTATCAAGATCGTGATAAAAGGGGATCTGTATGTTATCAGTTTGTGAATGAATGGGATCAAATTGGCAATTACATGCAATCAATCTAGTATAATATGTTGGGAAACTGATAAATCTACACATAAAATGCACATTACCTACTTACAATAAGAATCTAAGAACTTCATTTGCAACAGAAGTTTAGAAAATCCTCCACAATTCACTAAAGGACAATGATTTAACTCCAAAATAAGACTATAACAGGAACAAAACTGCAATAGTTGGCAGCCAGTTGAGGAGAGTACGCTATTGCAAAGACACATCACAGACAAGTTGCAATCATCGGTGCAGACTGACTCAGAGTGATTGGAGCATGCTGGCAGTTGGACTGACTACTGAGTCAGACAACGATTTGTTTGGAGACAGGTTGCCTCCCACCAGGTGACATGTGCAATCACCTTTGGCCAGAGGTTTGTGGTATTGCATGTTAAACCTCTGGAGTCACTGCAGCTACTTCCTTCCGTCGCCAAATTCAATGCAATCATCGAGCAGCATCCTTGTTTAAATATTTTTTTTTTAATTTGTAAACAACACCCACAAGATGACTCTGGATCTTTGTATCGTGAATTTTCTCTGTGTTACTAACAAAGCATGACACCATGTTAGTGTGAACATGGATGTAATTGTCTCAATATATCAGGTGATAAAAATAAAGCACCTTTGTGAATACTCTGGTCTTCAATATTACACCTTTCTGCTGCTTCAGGGATTTCACACAGTTTTTCCCTTGAGGCGATGGACTTCAGCTCTTTCCCTACTCACCATCCCAGCTTGTTCTAAATGTAGACCTAAAATCTTTTTCTTTGATCCCAGATTGGCTTGACTCTTTGGAAGTCTGCCCTCACAATACAAAGTGGGAGTTTTTTTTAAGGATTTTCTTGGTGTATGGCTTCTTTGTGAAGAGGATTTGTGGCTCTATAAGATCTATAAGGATTTGATGCGCTGCTGTAGCTACGAGACACAATATTGCTCCACTCCCTGGAGTCTGTCTGTAACACTGAGTTATTGTCCATGACTCCTGAAGGACAGCTGGTGTACAGATTTCAAATTACAACGTGTACTCAGACAGACAGATCACTTGTACTTAGCTGGTTGCTTTCAAAACTGAATTTGTATTCCTTTATTTTTCTATAGGAAGTGTATATATAACTAAAGTAAATGACCTGCAACTTATTATTACTGATGATATTTTGGTATACTCATTCAATTCTTAAGTAGCAGAAAAGCCATTTAACAAGACAAAACCACATCTGTCATATTTTTTTTAAATATTTTGTTCCAATACAAATTTTTCTAATTTTTTTTTAATGATTAGCTTTCTGTAAAATCAACTAATAATTGGTGCTTCAATAAATCAGCATCCTTTCATGTGTTGCATCTCTGGAGCAGTTTAGAAAAGTAAAGTTTAGCTTAACTTCGACCTGTAGTCTTTTGCGAAGGACACCATACTTGCATCAGTTCCTTCAGTACTTCAGACGTGCACATATTTCCCCCCATATAAATGTGAAATCAAACACCGAGCGTGGCAGTTACTGCCTCACGTCAGTCTGTTCTAAATTGAAACACAGCGCATGAGTCGCAGTGTCACTGTTGTCTCTGTTTGATTACCTTCTACCTGTCTGTTCTGGCCTGCTTCAAAAAATGTTTGTTGTGGCTATGCTTAATTTAGACCAGAATGACAGGGACAAAGGTTTTGAAGCCTTCCCAAGCGACAGCCTCCCCTTCTGAAGATTGTTTATGATATCTGTAGATCTGTAGGTATAGCTCAGAATCCCTCTGAGAGATTCTGAATCAAAAGTGTGTTTAAGAAAACAAGAGCACCAGAAGACTGTATGTGTTTTGGGTCTGGAGGAGGACTGGCAGTTTGCTCAGGCTGTAATTGTAAATGTAGTTGAGCCAGAGCAAATATCTTTTGTCAGTATCCATCTGCAGAAAACCGAGACAAAGAGCAAAGCTGATGTTCTGGCAAAGAAACAAGGCTTTGAAGAATAGTTGTGGTAATTGTTCTCACTGATTGGATTTCATTCATCGTCCACTACATGCAGCCAGCAGCAGCTGTATCCCAAGTATTGTGTGATGCTTACCCGTCTCTGTCTTTTCTCTTTGTTGCTTAGGAGTTTGCAGCACTGACCAAGGAGCTGAACGCCTGCAGGGAACAGCTGCTGGAGAAAGAGGAAGAGATATCTGAGCTCAAAGCCGAGAGGAACAACACCAGGGTGAGGACAGCATCCTTATACATCTTTATTAAACTTTCCTTACTTAACTTATTTTAATATGACCATTGGAATTCAGTAGTTCTGAGCAATAAGAACAAACAAAACTGATGTTTGGACATTTTAAACCAGAAATGAAGCTGCTTCTGCATTTCATACTCAATCCTTTTTTTATGCATTCCACAAGTTGCTCTCAAGTTTTCCCAAAAAACCTGCTGGACACTGTGATAGGCAGCATCCAGAGGAAGATTAAGCTATCTGGTGGCTACGGTTTTAAGGCTGCAAAAGCACTGAAGCAACCATGCACACTGTCTATTTCCTGTGCCCAGGCACACCTCATTAGCTCTCCACATTCTGCCTGAAAATTGTTCCACTTACTTCACATGGATGGCTGCTCAACAGTAAAACTAAGTCCAAATGGTACTGATGCCCTGCAGTGTCCAGTTCAAAGAATTTGGTGTGGGGGAGGGGCAGCTAAAAAAAAAAAACATTAGAGGATCAGCTGAAGTCCAGTATCTTCAATAAAAAACATTGCCTTTTTAAAGCACACTCTGCTGTTGATAGATAAGACTCTGCTTTCCATCCCAATGCTGATGAAGTGTGTATTTGCAGTCTTGCACTATCTTCCTCTGGTGGAGACAGAAGATTTTAGCACAGCACTGATGGAAAATTACAGAAAAGAGGGAGGTGAGGTGCAAGAAAGGAGGACAGACAAAAGTCATTTTCACTCTCGCAGTTTATTATCACCTCAAATTCTCCAACAGGCAATTACTAAGCAAATTTTAATTAAGCTTGGTTTTGTCACTGGTTATAATTAAATCTTGGAAGACATGTACAGGCAGTCATTTGACGTGGGAACCTGCAACATCATGTGATGAGTATGGGATTGGTCTTATTGGCTGTGGGTTAAGCATCACAGTCTTTGATATGTGATGAAGATCTAAAGTTTTCAAACTTTTGAGGGGCCAAGACTAACTAACATTCATAACTGATTGCTTTCGTGTGTTTTAACTGATAAATTTTCAAATCACCAGCTACAACTTAGGGGATTAGTGTACATACTATCTGTTTTATCGCAGGCATAGTTGTGCACTTTGCTCATAGTTTTACAGAGTTACCAGAATGGAAATCAAACATAATTAAGCAACTAAACTCAAACTAACTAACTAGTATGTTAGGTCTCATTCACTAAAGCCTAGAGACCAGTTAATGACCATCTCACAACCACTAGTCGCTAGCAGGGAAAATGTGTAGACCCTGAGTGAGTGAGCGGCTGCTGGAGGTTGCTCACTCAAACTAGGTGAAATCAGTCGCCAAAAGGGTGCTGCACCGAAACCATGATTGCTTTGGTTTCAAGCAGACTGCCAACAGTTTGCATGTGAGATGCAGACTTGTCTGCAAACACTCACCGTTTTCCTCTGTTAGCTGAAAGTTGGAAACGTTTGGGGCAAATCGGAAAAAGAGAAAGTCGTGCCTTACCACTTCAACCAAAACACTTCAAAAGCCACAGCTTTTACTTTGTAGATCAAAGTTCTCTGTTGCCTGTTCGCCTCACACGTTTCACTTTTACTACTGCTTGGTGAGTAGTTTTCAGGTATTTGCAGTAGATACTGACTAATATAAGATTTTTGCAAGTAATACCGATATTTATTGATTAAAAACTCGGATATATCGGATGAAGCACAAGTTTGAAGGATATGTGTAACAACATTTCATCTTTACTTTTTAAATTTTCATTTTTTGGCAAGTTAAAAATCCAGATATCAATATATTTGCAAATAGCTGATATCTACTCATATCAGTTAAGCTCAAGCTCTAGTTTACAGTCAATTCAGTGTCTGCGCTGCAAACTGTGTGCGATCATGGCGACCTGTTACTTATTAAAGCAATCACAAGGGGAGGGGGGTCACTTATCGCCACCACACCAATAAAAGTACTATGAATTTATATTTTTAGGTGGGGCGTATTTGATTTGTAAAAGGGTTCATGCTAATCAAAAATGATCAGTTTTTATCAGCTTAAAATTTTCATTATGTTATAATAATGCTATTTAATTACTTTGAGCATTTGAGTTCAAATGCCACCGAAATTCTTTGTGTTATAAAACCTTTTAAACATCGTCCTTTACATCTGTTTTATATTGATAAATCCAAATTGCAGTTTTAAGCATGTAAATTCCACACATGCGCTTTTAGAAAAGGATCATTTAATTCAATCTACACCATGAACAAGCTGGCTAGCATCATGGTTTGTTTGCTTGAAACTAAGAAAGCGTGACTCAGATCTGGTCTTCTGTTGCTGCTCTTACTCAGTTTGGCCTCGAACCGTAACTTGACAGCGTGGTCTGGCTCAAGTATTTCTCTATGCCGGCCAGTTAGCTAGCTGGCTAACAAGCCAAGCTCTGCAGCAGCAGAACAGTCTGTTGTACCCCGAGTGAAGTGAGTGATTTCATGACAGATTTACGTGATGTCTCACAGTCGCATCAGAGTAGCTGTTGGCACAAAGATAATGTGAGTAATGGACCCAATATGCCTGCTTCATTGGCATAAAAGATCCTCGTCTAGATATGCACTTTTCAATGTCATGCCACATTTTAGGATTTACAACAACTCATTTTGTGCACCACTTAGCCGTGGGTCACGGACCCCACTTTCGGCAGCTGATGTAGAGACAGAGACAGAAAAACAAGATCGGATAAATAATGAAAATATTTACTGAACGAGATTGGAAATGGGGGGCTGTTGAGTAAACACTGACTTCCTGATTGAATCAACAGTAGGCATTTTGTTGAGTGTGCAGGATTATATATGTAGACATGATGGATGTTGATGGATCTCTCAGGGACACTTGAATCAGAGAGACAAATGAAGAGACTACACTCATACAGCAGTGCTCTGCAGGGGTCTTCTTTTCACTGCAAGTTTTCATTGTTCGACTCTTACACCTCACTCCTGCAGAGATTCTGATCACTTCTGCCTGCTCCAGTGTTTTCTATTGAAAATATATCTTTAGGATCCTGCAGACATCCCCCCCATAAAAAAGGAATCAAACATTTTTATGGATTTTGCTGCTTTTGGTTTGTTTTGTCATGTGTGTTTGACATTAAAATGAGTCAGAATGCTATTGATTATTTCTGTTACTTTATTTGGAACCATATATTGAAGAATATCATATTCTAAGCTAGCACTCTTGTCTTTTTACATTTCCATTTTGGGAAATTCAGTTAGATGAAAAGATCAATCCTGTTCTAAATGTTGGACTGTAACTGTGCAGCGCCAGTAGTCAGTATACTCAGTTGGCACAAAAAGGAAATTTTGAAAAGGATCTGTTGACTTTGGCTAGTGGTAGCCAAATTTACTTGAAACTTTAAGATAACAAAAGTTCATAATATAAACTTTGTAATACTTCAGTAAAAGTAAGAAGGCATCTACAGCACGATTATTACTTCTGTAATCTGTAATCATGCTCCAGAACTACTTTTAGCAGCAATGGCTGTAAGGTGTTCAGGCCTGCAAAGTGATCCCAAATCACCATCCACCACCGTGCTTGACATATTTGCAGATGTCTGTCTCTATTTTGGTGTCATCTGTCCAAAGGACATTGTTCCAGGACACATGTTATTTGTTCAGATGCAACTTTACAAACCTGAGCTATGCTGCCATATTCTTTATAAAGCGATATTTTAAACACTAACAGATCGTTGTAGGGCCAATGTAGATGTAGCTCTTACAAATTTTTGTACTTCGTCTGAGCATTGCGCAGTCTGACCCCTGATTCAATTCGACTGGATGTCTGGGAAGATGGAGACATCGTGTTGCTGACATTAAGTTGTTACCTATCATCTTAATTCGTACAGAAGCAGTCGGTGTGTACTTTGTTTTTCACAGGACTGCATGTTTGTGAAAACTGTCTTTTTGACATGACTGTATATAAAAATTAAAAGTCAAACCAGAAGTGCTATTGGCACAAAGATTAAGACTACAAGGAGCCTTAAATCTGCATTCTTTTAAATAGCCAGTGGGGCATAACACAAAAACATTGGGAAATTACCTTTTGGTTTTCTTCATCTATCATGTTAGTAAAAGCTTTTTGAGGAGTTTATACTCTCAAACTCTAGTTTCAAACTTTGCTGACCACAGCGTGAGCTTAGTTTACTAAATCATGGTCCCATTTAGAATTTAAAAAAATTAAAAAACTAATAAAATTAAAAAAGAAAAAAAAACTTGTTACAGTTACGCTTGAGGGCTAGCTGCCTCAGTATTGGCAATTTTAAGGAGTTTTCATGGTTACTCATGTTTATCTGTTTGCCACAATTGGTGCTATGTAGCCTATGGAAGAATCTTTTCAGATCTATGTTAATAATTTAGCCTATTTTTACTTCAGCAGAGATGTCAGTGGTATTTTGACTTAATAACAATGGTTTACACTTGGAATACACTTGCAATGGAATACACTTACACCAGCTAACTATGTTAGGTAGTCTCAGATGGAGATGTTTGGACAGTTGAAGTAAAGGTATGGTGGGAATATAACTAGTAAGGTCAGAAAGAGCACACAGATCATTCTGAGCTGTAACTTTAGCCTATAACCAGATCATTATCTCGAGGCTATATTATTATTGCCCCGGACGACATCAGACAGGGAAAGAAGTGTCACGATCACGATCTCACTAGGGGAAATGAAATAAAAGCAGACGATCCTACACTGATCTCACAGTGGAACCTGAGCAGGCTACAGTAACAAATAACGTTTTATCTCTGCTGAATAACACACATGATTGTTTACTCCCCGTTTTTGTTGTGTAGTTGCCTTTTGTTTAGCCTGCCTCCAAGCTCCGCATTTCTTCTCTGTCTTTGTGTAGCACTCTGCTGGCTGTTGACTTGACAAGTTACCTCGCAACATAGATTACACTTTTGTGTGTTTTTGTTGAAAGGACAGCGTTGCCTTTGCAGTTATCTGCCCCCTTTTTTATATATACATTGTTCGCACAGTTACATTGATGAGGCGTTGCAAGAATACAAAGCAAACTTTTCTTACTGGAAAACATTCTCTCCAGTGATTCTGAACTTTTATACCATAATTTGATAATAACTCACAACAGTTAATGAGAATGTATATAGTGATTATGGCCATTTTAATTGGTAAAAAAAATTTGATGATACTAAGAATAATAATAGATGTTGGTCACATACCAAGCCACCAAACCACTTTTATTGCAATTTTTTTCTTTTTTCCCAAAGGACTCAGTCTCTGTAAGTAATCGCCTTTGTTGCATGTATATAATGTTTTTTGATAGTCATGTTTGATTTTTGAAACATTTTTTGAGCCTGATCAAGCACACTTGAAATCATTCCTCTAGCACTTGTAGAAAAACCCCCATAAATAGAATAAGAACAAGAGCCGTGGCTTTCTGTGTTCTCAGAATGTTCATGTTTTGGATTCTTCAGCAGTTCTCAGAGTTGATAATAACATTGATTTCTCCTATTTCTTCCCTTTAGTTACTGCTGGAACATCTTGAGTGCCTGGTGTCCAGACACGAGCGGTCACTTCGTATGACTGTGGTCAAGAGGCAGGCTCAGTCTCCTTCAGGGGTCTCCAGTGAAGTCGAAGTTCTTAAAGCACTCAAATCCTTGTTTGAACACCATAAAGCCCTAGATGAGAAGGTAAGGTTGTCAGAATATATACATTAAATGTGCAACTGTTGGCTTTTTTCAGTTTTACCAAATTTAATGTGTTTGACTTTAATGTGTTGTTTTGATTCGGTTGTATGTCCCTTCTCTGTTGTATTATTATTAATTGCTTGTGTGTTTTATATTATTATTGGAGACAAATACATGTATTTTTGTTTATTCTGGATCAGTCACATGTTATTTACATTTAAAATTCTTTTTTGGTTTTCATAAATGCACAAGTGGGTTTGTGAAAAGTGTAGCTGACTATTAAAAGAAATGATTTGAAAAATTAGGTTTAATGTGTTATATTTCTGCAGTGTGGTGTCATTAGTCATGTCAAAGGCAAGCTGAGTGAGTATTAGCACAGTATGGAGGTGAAGTAACTAGTTAGCTAGCTAGCTGCAGGAGCTAACCAGGAAAAAAACCTCAGCTACACATACTACAGATCCAGAAAGAAAATAAAAGCCATCAGGAAAAAATGTTTTGCATTGTTACTTTTGAGTCACCTATATGTATTCTTTCTCCCCAAAACATTATGTTTAATTTTAAATGTTAAACATATTTGTAGTAACTTATTAGTTGTGCTTTGCTGGATTCAGATTTGGCTCCACCCCCTAATTATCATATTATAGTATATTATAATGTATATGGATAGATAAAACATTTAAGACCAGATGATACTAACAGTGCTTTATTTTCCTTTTGTGTGATTTCATGCTATCATTTTCTAGTTTTAAGCCTTTACATGTCGCACTCAGTGTTTCTCCTCACATCCCGCTGATTTATGACCTTAGCACTCCCCCTGTAATCCATTCACCCCCCCCTCGAAAGCCAACATTTATAACACATGTCCAACGTCCACATTGTTTAAGGTAATAAAAGCTCAGGCAAATGGGGTCCCGTGTTGGAACAATATCCCAGAGTGGACACAGAGGATCAGCCTCTTCTCATATCTGGTGCACACTCACAATGTGTTGCAAGTAATTGTTCCATCACAGCCATGATGAACCTAAAAGAGACAAAGGGAGAAGTGTAGAAGGGGAATCTCCTCTCCGCAAATGGTGCTTTTAAAGCAGTAAGAGCCGTATAATGCTACTTTGAAGCCCCAGCAAAGTGGTGTTGTAAGGCTAAGGGAGGAAAAGAGGATAGCGCCTTCTGATGTGTTAACCCTTGCTTTCCTGGACTGGGATTTTAACAGCGGTGAGAGAGGAAGCTAATGATTGCGTTTTTCAGCTTGGCTCTTTTAAGATCAGTCCATCCCAGTGGAATTAAGTGCAGTGAAGGCTTATAACAGTGCCCATGACAAAGGAGCTACAGACAGATCGTGATTCATGTTTTGTGATTTTCAGGTAAGAGAGAGATTACGAGTGTCACTGGAGAGGGTGTCTGCCTTGGAGGAGGAGCTCACAGCAGCCAATCAGGAGGTAATAACCACCACACTCACCAGTAACTACATTAACTGCTTGCTAATGCAGATGTCTTATAAGCAACCAAATGCTTTTAGGCATATGAAAGAAATGTGATGAAAGTGACTTTGAATGTGGCAGATGGGCCAACCTGAGTATTTCAACTGCAGATCTACAAGAATTTTCACACACAACAGTCTCAAGGGTTTACCTCTCTGGGCAGAAATGCTAGAGGAGAATGGCTAGACTAAAAAGTCGACAGTAACTCTCGTAACCTTATGTTGAAATTTAAAGCAAAAGACCACAGGGGTTCCAATGCAGTGCTAACAAGCTGTGACTAATGGCCACGGTGTAGAATAATGAATATTGTGATATTTTTAAACACACTTTTTGTTGTTTGTGTTGTCAGATAATGCATCATCAGTGATTATGGATTAAAACAAGAATGAATGGGCTGAAATTCCTGGAACCTCAGACTATGGTTTGTTGGTTGTTTTCATACCAATGCATAGTGTCTGACTTGAGATAGATTATTAGCTTTCTTCATCAAAGGAACACTTAGTAGCATATAGACAAATGGGACAAAGAAAAATTATATTCTTTAATAAGGAATTAAAGACTTTGGCTATTTTATTAATCCTTTGCATAAAAGGCATCAGGAAAAGCAAGCATTTCTAATTTGGAAAACAAATACTATTGTTTCATTTAAGCCATTCCCATCAGACAAATGCATGTCTGTACTGCTTTTTAAGGATTCTGCAAACATGCTCAGTAAACATAATTTTGAACATGCAGAGTTAATGTGATGAACAAGCATTTTTATTTATTCCAATTGCAATGTTTTTTACTCAACCCATCCAATCTTTAAGCATCTAAACCTAAAAAACGACTTAATGTCAAAGTAAAAACCGAGTAAAAACTAACTTCAAAGCACAATGTTTCCACATGGGAAACTTTGGTCTATAAAATTGTGACTTACTTAATTTTATAGCACTTAAATTCATCTGCATCTTAAAAATCACTGCTGGTGTATGAAGTCACAGACGCTGACAAGCAATCTGTCCGATGCCAACAGTGAAGAGAAATATTTCACACTTTGAGATGGGAATGTGCTGAAATAACAGAAAATATATGCTGTTCATGTATTAAACATGTAGATACTATTTATATATACATGCAGTATCTCAAGACTTGTGTTGAGTTGCATATTCCGAACAAACATAACATATATACAGGAACATATACTACTTGTTTACGTGGATGCAAACCTAATACATACTGTGATGTGTCCTGAATTTTGTATCTGCTCTGAAACCCAGAAACATTTACAGTACCTCGACAGGCTTCACTCTACCTCATCTTATGCTTATCAGTGGCTGCGGCGAAGCACTGACAGTACATCGGCCACTGTTTCCTTGGTGGCCTTTCCGTCTTCACCTCCTAGTTCGGGCTAGAGTAGGATTTGCACTGCAGATGGTCCTGTTCCAGCTGAGGAAAAACCCTCAGGCTGCCACTTCACAGCCTGTCAGACATGCCAGCCTGACACTCGGGCCTGGCGTAAAAGTCACTAAAAGGAGGAGAAGAAGAAAAAGATGGGAATGAAAAGCAATAGGGGGAATGGTTGGGAGGCGTGTGGCGTGGGTGGAAGGACAGACGGAGATCTAGTGTGAGAGGAGAGAGAGGGGGTAAGGATGGAAAAAAAAAAGGCATAGAGAGGCAGAAGACACAAATAGACATGGCAGGTGGGATGCAGAGGCAGATCGTGTGTGGAGGTATGTGTATTAATGAGAGTGCAGGGCTCCACTTGGTCAGAGCACCTCTGAAAGAAAGCGAAGGACAGAAAAAGTGAAGCTGTAATGATATGTTTTGATGGCGAGTAAAGTCGCTAGGGGTCAAAACCCAAGATTTGATAGTGTGCGATCTACCAGACAAGGAGAGAATTGTAGAAAAGATTGAAAACTTAAAAAAGCAAACCTAAAGGCCAGCGGTACCTAAATTCTTCTCTTTTTCTCTTTGACAGTTTTTCCTGAAGTCTTGTTTTTTAACTGCAGAAACTCTGACAGACATCTCAGCAGCACCTTGAAATATTTCTCACATCACACTTCCAAGCTTATAAAGACCATACAGTATTTCTGTGTGGCTGTCCCTCTCTAATGGTTAACACAACACTTGTCAGAGCTGTGGACAGATGAGTGATTAGACCTTGAGGTGATGGAGGGTGGAGGTGGTGGTGGAGAGGATGGTTAAACCGGCTTTGCCGAATAAAAATGTCCACGCTTAAGAGGCTCCAGGGAGGCAGGCGGATCCGTGAGCCCGCAAACTGGTAATTGATTTGAGATGGAGGTCTATTATGAGTCCCATTTCCCTCAAGGAATTTAGACAATGTGTCCATGCTTGAAGAAATCAGCAGCCTTTAACCTCATGCAGTCACAGGTGTTTAAGTGGCCCCACACTGATTGCTGCTAGTGATTGCAGTTCTATCTGTGGAGCATTTTGGTATCTATCTGAGGATGAATTGTTGCTTACCAATTATTTGATGTTAATCAAAACAGACATATTTTTAAGACACTGTTAAATTCCCAAAGGTAGCTCAATAGCTCATTTGAATCTATCACAACCATACAAGATCAAGGCAGATAAAATAATATGTATCAAATATTATTTTATGCAGTCATACCAGATTCTTAGCAACTCAACCCTAGTTACACGTGGTGATTGACCATTTGTAACTTTCAGAGGCTTAAAATGAAATTGACTAATGAGCTATTTTATGGTCATGTGAAGTCTGTTCCTTCATTATTGTTGAAGGAACAGGGAACATTATTTGGCAAATTATGCAAATGATGGCCGCCCCTCCCTGAGCCTGGTTCTGCCGGAGGTTTCTGCCTGTTAAAAGGGAGTTTTTCCTTCCCACTGTCGCCAAAGTGCTTGCTCATAGTGGGTCATTTGATTGTTGGGTTTTTCTCTGTATATATTATTGTAGGGTCTACCTTACAATATAAAGCGCCTTGAGGCAACTGTTGTTGTGATTTGGCGCTATATAAATGAAATTGAATTGAAAGAAATTGATTTGATTTCAAGTGTTGCATTTTGTGTTTTTTTTCGGATTGGAGGAGCTCCTAAAGAATGTTGATGCAAGTGAAAGAGGCTAAAAAAACAAAATAACCTTAATGAGTAGTGAGTAGCCAAAATCAACAATCTGGTGCATTCTTAATAAGTGGAACTCAATTGGCTAGCTCTACAACACCAACACCTTTATGAATGTAAAGGACAGTTTACAACAAGGTCTAAATAACAGGTTGCAACAACAAGCCAGATTAGACAACAAAATTAATTGATCAGAAGTATACCACATCATCTGTCTAATATGGTAGAGATAATGTTGTGAGGCGGGCATGTATGATAGTGGAACTACCACTAGTGTTTATAGGCGATGTGACTTCTGATAGAAGTATGGATTCTGAAGTGTACAGGGCTATACTCTCTCTGCTAATATTCGACCAGATGCTGCAAAACTGAGTAGACAGCACTTCTTAGTGCAAATGGATAATGGCCTGAAGCATACTGGAAAAGCAACCCAAGCGTTTCTTAAGGCAAAGAGATGGAATTATTTTCAATAGCCAATAGAGTCATTTGAATCAGTTTTTAACAATTTAAAGCAGCTTTAATGGTGTGGTAATATAAGATTTGATAATCGGATGTATAGAAAGGTAACATCTGACCCATGAGCCGATGTGGGCTAGCACTGAGGTCTTTACAGGCTGAGCTTGATCCAAACCAGCACTATGCTCAGTAGGAGAAATACTCTGTTCACGGTTTTTCAAATAAAAGCTGGCAGAAAAGGTTGAGAATGGCAACAGCAGTACTTTTTTTCTTGCTTTTGCAAAAAAAAGACTGACCTAATTCTTTTGGGATTTTGTAAAAGAAAGAAAACTAATACATGAAATGAAATCTCCTTTGACCTAAAACATTTGATAAACATGTTTTATGTGTGGTCATGCATTTTTCCCCAGGTGTGTGATTGATTCTATTTTAAGTGCATTGCACCAAACTTGCTTTTCCCCAAATCTCACCTTGACGTCATCAATCTTTCATACTCTAAGAGCAACCTGTGACACCCGTGGACACACACACTCACACATAGCCATTCTTATTTCACTCCTTCCCATTTTCCTCCAATTTCTACTTCATCAGACATTCCTGTCAACACAGAGCCCAGAAGTGCTAAAGGAAGATAAGGAAATTGTGATGCTGCGTTGTAAAAGAAGCTCCACTCGTCCTTGTGTCCCTTGTCACCCTTTTCATTTTGCATCTGGCAAACTTCTCTCTGTCTTCTTTCATTTCAGCGATGGAGATGCATCAGTAGCGCCCCATTCATCAATTGTGCCTTTATGTCATGGGTGGCGTTGGTGTTTGATCTCTGAGATGGAGAAATTACAGACAATCTCAAAATAATGGTACTGGAACATACGGAGGCATAATTATGCCCTCATTAAAAATAATGAACAGAAGATGCTTTGTAGACAGAGTGCAGCAGAAAAGAAGAAGCCAAGCTGCTGCTGGCAAAGTTGAGTGTGAAGGAAACCCTGTCTGTGGAAGGTGGGAGATAATCTTCTGTTCTCACTCGCAACTTTAAAGAGGTCCCGACATTAACTATGACTTGTGTCCAGGTGTCAATGAGGGCAGGTTGGGATCTGAGTTTAAACTGAATCATGTCAAAGTCACTTGATTGCATTGTTTGTTTTATCGACAGCGGTTTCATTGATTGTCCTCGGGCTCCTCTTGCTGTTCCGATCACAACAAATGTCTGTTGCGGAAAGAGAGAGAGAAAAGACGATTTTAAAGCATCGCAATTTGTTTTCAACGGCGACAATCACTCAGCATTTCCATTCTCAAACTGTAATTATTTATTAGAATGATTAGTAATGGTAGTTGGATTGTCATAAATGATGGTGCTGGCTGCTTGGAAATCCTGATCGAATCATCCATAAAGAGAAGGACAAAAAGGAACATGCATGATTTGAGAGTCCTACATGGTTCAGAGATTAAAGCTTTTCTGAAGCTTCCGAGTACTCATAGAGGAGAACCAGCATGATGCAGCTTTAATCACATCACGCTATCAGCATGCCTCATGTACTGTAGTAATTGTTGGGGGGGGGGGGTTTGTTAGGAGCTCCTCCTTTTTTGTTCGTGTAGAGAATAGCTGTAAAACTATTTTAGTGCTAGAGTTGTCTTTCTGGTGGTTATTTACTTTTTAGGGGAGGTTTCAGAGATTGAGACCAGTGGACAGTGGTGTAACTTTGACTGCTTCTGTCTGCAAAAATAAACGGAACACACTGTACCAAGCTTATTGTTGAAATAAAAGCAGACAAGAACACAATAGCACACAGAAATATCATCACCAGTGCTATTTTAACATCCCTCACAGTTTGCAGACTGACTTTGTGGCTTTTCTTAGTTTTCCATTGCAGAGAGGAGCATTGAGGATCTGCCCTGTTTCAGTTTTACTTTCAGAGCCAGGACTGCGTGTGTTGGCTTGTATTTCTTACTCTGTTTTGACTTTCTTTTCTCAGGGGAATCATTAATTCATACATTTCTTAAAGCTGCACTGTGTTTACTTTAGTGCAGCTGGCCTATGTTCGACCTCAATAAAAGATTGATGCATTCGCAACACGTTATTTTCGTATTCACCTTAGTGCTAGTGTAGGATACACGGAGAAAGTCTTAGAAGAAGTTATCCATTCTGCTAGTTAATATTTAGTGGCCTACCTGGGACGAATGAATGGCTGCTCTCCATAAGCATTAGGCTCTGGAAAGAAGTACTTCAAGAAGTACTGTGAACTAGTAGGCAGCAGGTACACTGTCAACCTCTCTCTCTCTTGAAGTGAGTGATAATCATATGTTGTCAGTCAAAGCCAAACCAGAATGTTATTGTTGTCAGACACCCCTGTGACAGGGTTAAGGCTTCAGGATGGCTGATGGTGGGGAAATAAAGCACTTGGTTTGCAAAACTCAATAATCACAAGGTTTCCATGAATGTTGGTTAAAGTAATGTTCCAAAATTCCTATGCAGTGTGATATACTGTAATTTACTAGCATTGCATAAGAGAGGGAAAATGATTAGTTAACCAAGGATTGCAATTATGTGTGGTTGTGGTTTTATCCTCATCGTGTGTGCAAACAAGAGGCTCATTCAAGAGGCTTCGCTAAAAGCTAAAAGTTCTAAAGCCACACTGAGGAAGATGCCAGCCTTAAAATTCAGTTTTGTTTTTTCGTCTCACACAAACTGTGTTGCTGTGTGCAGGCAAGTGTGTGTGGAGGGTTTTTTTGTTGTATTTTTTATTTTTTTTTACTTCTAACCCCATATTTTTGTGTCCCACAGATTGTGGCCTTACGGGAACAGAATGCTCACATCCAGAGGAAAGTGGCATCAGGTGAGGGAGGAGAGGACATTTTGGAGGGCAGTGAAGCTCAACAGAAGGTCCATGGCAAGGTGAGCTCCCTTGATTTAAATATGGGTGGAAAAAATGGTCAAAATTATGTGTGGATCTATAATAACTACACTACACTTTAATAGTCTGTACATTATGGCAATATTTGCACTTGTTGTTTTTGATTAAGATATAGTTTATTCTAAAAATGTGCATAGTATTATGTACGTATATATTAAATATACTTACTGTGGCGGTCATACAGTAACCCGGATGTTTTCCATTTCAAAATAAAAGCACTAGCAATCAATATTTTGTCTACAACCCTGCTGTGGTGGCGTTACACAAATAATTCCTGTACATTTAGTTCCCCCTGCTGTATTGGCATTTTGACTTTAAAGTATTGCAGCGACTATCACATGGTTTTGATCATACATTTATTTACCTCTGCAGGCATTCTGAAGGAGTTAGGCGAAAACTCCTGCTGTGATCTCACCCCCTGCCATTATGCAGGAGCACACATGGACATCCATAGCTGAATAGCATAGGTGTAGGCGCATGCACATTTACTAGATTACGCTGATGCCTTTTTATGTCAGAAGCACGCGAGCCCAAAATGATGCACCTTAAAGGCAAAAGCAGATGCAGGATTTTTACTTATTTATTTATTTATTTTATGCATGCAGACAGCAGCAGAGGATACCTGGGTAGATCAATGGAGACGTTATTACTTGGCTGGTCTGCTGGGGAATGAGGGTTTGGGGGATGGGAGGTGGTGGTGGTGGGGGATTGGGAGTAAAGAGATGAAGAGCGTGTGAGTTTGAGGGATGTGATAATGAGGAGACAGCCATCATCTGCTCTGTTTTGTGTAGATAAAATAAGAGAGTATGAACATGTGTTGTTTGGCACATTTGTTTTGTGATACGGTGAAGAAAGAACACTAACCTTGCAGTAATGGTGAGGGTTAGTTATTCAGCATGACTGCAGTCAGAGTGACTGACAGAGATGTAGAAGGAACTGTCAGGAAGGGGACAATGGCAAAACCTGCCCACCGGATTCTTATATATATATATATATATATATA